AAATTCATTAGGAATATTAAACACGCGTACGCGGTGCTATATTTCAATGATTTGACTTATGACGTTGTTGCATAACCTTTTCAGACAAAATAATGTATTTTAATCATAAAATTCCTGTTAACAAATAGTTTACAAACATGTAACCTTTTAGAAAATTTCCATTTTGCAAAAGATCATACGTAAAATTATGTTTACGTTTCTTCACATACCTGAAGTTTTGAAAAGGCCATTTCTTTCTGCGTTTAAAATATCCATTAACGTTCCCCATTTCTTTTTTCCATACTCTTTACTAAATCCAGCAGCGTATTTTTTCGAAAAATTTCACCATTTACTCGAACTCGATTTTTTTTCTACCGCCATCCTCAGTAATAAGCACGTGCGAAACAGCCCCTTTGACAACAAACTACCCCCTTTCCCTGAGCCTGGAGCAATGTAGAGGTGAGATAGACTGGTTGCTATGCAATAAACGTCACTTCCGCACGGAATTTCCACTTCACTTTCCGCCGACGAAATTTGAAGGGGCCAGACATATCGATCTCGACCGGTGTTCAGACTAGACCCCCAGGTTCTGTGGTGTTTGCAACACTCGAAGAAGCCATCAGATGAAGACCATCGGTAAAAAAAATGAGCAGTGTTGACAAAATATGACGAAAGTATAAAATCAAGTGGCCGCCATCAGTTGACGAAGAAGGTGAGTTTCTGGTTGAAAGTCCAAATCAACGAATAGAAGAGTCTAGAATGAGTAAAAGATGTTACAGATCGAGAATATCAGCTGGATATTTGTATTTATTTCTTGGAAATTGAGAACATTTAAGAGAATTGTTGTAGTTGCTAGAGTGAGTGAAAATTGAATAGAAGAAATTTCTAGGAAGTTTTTAAATATAATTTTGAATTGTGTGAAGATCACGGTAGATATAAGAATTTGGAATGAATCAAGGCACGTTGTCTCTGAATGCTTTGTTTTGAAGAACTTGTATATGTTGAAGGTGAGTTTTGGGGGCGTAGTCGCAGACAGAACTAGCATAGAGTAATGCTGGTCGAAGTATAGATTGATATAAGATGAGTTTATTTGAAGTAGTCATATCACTTCTTCCAAGAAGTGGACGCACAGTTTCTCTGAGATGTTTCTGAAAAGTCAATTTTTTATCTAGAATGACTCCTAAATATTTAACTTGTCAAGCCAATCAATTTCTTCTTCAAACAGACGAGGTCTTGGTGGTGTGCAATTTGTGTGTCCCTTAAGAAAAATTACTGATTTTAATTTTTCAGTATTAATTACAATCCTTCAAAGAGAGAGCCAATTATTCAAAAGGTTGAGGTAATGTTGAAGAAGGAGCCGGACAACTGTAACTGTTGAGGCTTGGGTCATAATTACTTTTTCATTTGCGAAGAGGGCTACGGTCATCTGTGGGTCTTTCGGAATATCTTAAATGCAAATGTTGCATAGATACGGCGAAAGGACTGAGTCCTGAGTCACTCCAGCAGAAATATGTCGCGTTGGAGAAACAGTGTTTTCAATTTTCACTGCGAATGTTCTATTATTAAGATAAGGTTCAATAAGTCTTATGCAATGATCTTGATGCAATCATCTACAAACTTAATAAGTTTGAATTACCATCGGAGACTTATCTACAAACTTGATAAGTTTGTAGATAAGTCTCCGATGCCATATCCTATCAAAAGCTTTCGCGATGCCAAGGAATATGGCTTCGGTGGGAAATTTACAATTTAAACCATTAGTAATATGGTTGACGGCACAAAGCAACTGGTGATTAGTACTATGAAAATGTTGAAAGCCAGACTGTTCTTCTGGAACGTAGGACCTCTGTGGAATAATTTGATTTAGATGTTGACTGAGAAGGCTAATTGGATGGTAGTTCTGTGGAAACGTGGAATTTTGATGCGGTTTTCCGAGGACGACGATCATGGCATGTTTCCATATTTTAGGAAAGTATGAAAACTTAATGATAGAGTTGATTAGCTTGGTAAGACATGTGATAGCATTGATAGAAAAATGTTTCAGCGCTTTGGTAGATATTGTTGCATTATTTTCTTCCTTCACTTCACGTTCGTACAGATTTGGAGTGAATAATGACACTTGCGATGAAGTATCGAAACCCACTTTATTGGCCAGTATTATTCAAGACATCTCGAATATTACGTTTAAAGTCGTCGAAGACCTACTATAAACTCGCTGGAACAATCAGCAACACGACCTTTAGGTTATCAGACTATAACGGTGGAGACAGCTTCACTGCATAGCACCACAGTACAGCTCCCGACTCTGCTTGGTCTCTCTCGGAACTCCATGTACTCTCGAGACTCTCGACGCTACAACTCGCGATGCACTCGACGACACACAGAGCACAGCTCCCGATTCTTCGGTTCGGTAGTTCCCGGAGCTCAGCACACTCTCTCGACGATGCACTAACAGCGATACACTGAGAGACTCTTTCGATGCACTCGATGACCCGCTCGGCACTTGCTGACCGACTGTCAACTCGATGGACTCCGGACTAACTAACTCGAGACACACTAACTGCGGACCAGCAGGGTTTATATAGCTTTCGGCTTGTGTTCGAGAACATTATGGGTTAAACCGGTAAGAATTCGTTTCAGAAGACATCCGTCCATGGCATATCGCCAATTTTATCGCCAAATATTGCCAAATGGACGATTTTTCGACAAATGTGGCAAACTTGC